GGCCCTTCTGCAGCCGACAATGCTCGAGGACTCCTGGTGATGTGTATCCCGACGTGCAGGCGTCCCCAGTCTGTGTTCCTGGTGTACCGCTGATGTATTGCCTGTTGTAGGTTGCAGGAGGAGTTATTTCTTGTGAGCGTAAACATTAGATCCAAACTTTGATGCCCACCACTGCTCCCTCTTACCATCCTGCTTCCACCGGCAGGTTACTGCTCTCCTGCAACATATATCCGACAGAAAATTCCTCAAAGACCCAAGGCCCAGTGTAGGCAAGACCGTATACGTGGCATCTATCGCTCCCGACGACGCCATCGATTTCGTCGAAAAAGCCTGGATTAAAGCACTGGTTTGGAGTATACTATCGGAGGTCGTGGATTAGGGACTCTTGTAGTGGCTCTCCGTAAGCCCAATTCATTATATTCTACTGGTATCTTACGAAAATTGACCGGGATTTCCCTCGCAGCGGCGCCACCTACGACCCTGCTTAGTGGCTGCCTTGTCTGCGCCCTACAATTGGGCGTATACAGGCTGATTGTATTTTGCCTTGCTCTTACGAGAAGACGCGCTGACCGGGCCCCTTTGTATCTCGCTCGACGGGCCACCCGTGGTCTTACCTTGGGCGACCGTCGACGAAGGCCCGATATTTTATCCTCGAATCCCTCTACACACCAAGGACTTTTTCCATTATCTCTGGCCTCGACCTCTGCCTTTGCCTCGCAGTTCTGGATGTCAAGACGCGCCGTTAGTTGGCAGCTACCGCACATGTATCTCAAGTATTCTTTGAGCCTTAGACTAATTTCTGCTCGGGCCATGGTAAATGGATGCCATTGTTTAATCTGGGCGCCTTAATTTGAGAATAAGGGCTGTGGCCGAGGTCGCCCAACGTGGACAAGGTGATAAGGCACTTCTCGCGTTCTTCTACCTATTTGCCTACCAGTTTCTGGATGCAGCCTGGCTCGCGCTCATAATCTCTGCGTCATCTACTCACGTTTCCACTGCCTCATCCCAGGCATTCCGAACGCAGCGTCGAGCTGTTTCCTCGGCACATACAGTGGCGGTGGCGACGGTGGTCTGCTCATTCCCACCGGTTCATCCTCACATGTACTTATATTGCACAGACGATCGATTTGCTGAGATCTACGAAGCAATTGTGCGCTGGATCTCGAAAGCCTTCACCGCCTTCGTAAATTGGCCGCACAAGATATGCACCGCTGCGCTGGCCTGGATTCACGACGATGTCGGTCCGGGGCTGGCTGAAAGATACAAGCCTCCAAACCCATTCCACGGTCCACCAGCCTGTAAGGCAATCCAGATCATTTGCCGGCAATCATTAGAATGCATCGCTTGGATCTTGGAAAACGGCAAAACAGGTTTCGCTTCCATTATTTCTCTTTTTTTTTTGCGGAACGATAGCAAGGCCGGATAGTATTTATGTACTCTCCGTCATCTACTCAGGTAATAATTACCCTTTCAAATGATCGAGCCGACCTAGTCGTCCCGACCCCGCCCGCTTCCATTATTTCTCAACAGACGAGGACGGACAAGATGATCCTCCTGCTGGGTCAACTCGATATGGAGGAAGCCATGTCTGCCGATATGTAACCGTAGTTGCCCTTGATTTAGAAAAACAGTGACTAAAAAATCGCAAAAGCATTGTATGGTCAGTATTTTTTGCGGACGCAAGAAACGACACGTTAGAGAAGCGATCGGTTTACGGGAAAGTATCCATTGGAATCGTCAGGATCCGGAGTTGTGAAACTGAACACACCGCTTCCCCAACTGGAGCCAATGATAATTCGAGTTGAACATGTAATTCATTACTTGAGCTAAGTAAGTATCAGGAATTATCGTCAAAACATTGGCCAGGGTCAAGCCAGGGTGAGTCGTACGTTCAAGCAGATCGGAATCCATGGTCGTGAGTTTCGTCTTACTGTATCCGTGAAGGTTGGCTGCGACGACCTCTCAGATATGTCATGGGACGAGCAGGGGAGACCGACTGCCAGTGGGCCTAACATCTGTAGCGACATGGGAAGATGGAAGGCGAGAGGCTACAAGGAGGTTAGAGGTCACCCGCTTGATGATGGATGCAAATGGACGGCAGTTTGTTTGATCTTGCAGCCTAAACGCTCCCAGTCTCGTGGACCCATCTGCATCTTCCTGAAAGGGACGGTTAAATAAAGTGTATTGTCTCTGGCATCACGATATTATGGGCAGCGCATCCGCCAATCTACGCCTACTCCTGCTGCAGACAATACAACGGTCAGCGCAATCCCACAGTACAACCAGGTTCACATACCGAGCGTTCATTTACTTCCCGCCCTCGCTCTCCTTGTCATCTTTGGGAGGCTCCGAAACCTACCAGGTTGGCCGTGAGTTCCGAGTACGCGTCACACCATACAACTCACAGCTTCGGCGGTCGAGGTCGACTCGTCAGACGTCTGTGATAGAAACAAACTGATCAAGGGCATCGCACGCGACCAGAGGATATGCTTACTGCGTCAGCCGCGTTGGGGACATCGGCCGCCTGCAGTCATTATGCACATGAGAGAAACCGGGATACTGCAGGACGTACGGTAGCATCATTGACTGCGCTAGAAACATCCGCTTCCGTGCCCTCGTCATCCTTCATCACCGCCGGAGTGGCATGCTCCTCGTGCGCCTCTGTGTGAGCGGCATGCGCGTCGTGCGCGTCATGCCCATGGTGGCCGGCAGCTATCCGCTTCTTGATCTCGAAGGTGTCCTTCAGTAAATATGCCAGCTTTCGGGATGTGCCTCAGTTCCTTGCAACCGAAGTCGATAGAAAACATCTCACAGCAGGGCCGGTGACGGCCGCAGCGGCTATCTGCAGAGTATAGCATTGATAATGAGCGTCAAGATGTGGCTATTTCACGCACAATCCAGGGAAGGTCGGATTTGGGCTTGAATGGTTCGTCATGGTGAGCGGCCGCATCCGCGCTCATGAAGCGCTTGGATGGGCGTGCGGTGGAACGTACGGACCTGGCGGCACGCGCGGTCGAGGAGAAGACCTGGCGACCTACACGAGATGCCATAGTAGTAGAGTCGAAGTTGGACGTAAACAACCGACAATCGGCCAGAAGCGGGCTAGAATTACGAGTCTCGGCGCGGTCTCTGCGGGGCTACGTTCCTTCACAACTCTGTACACTAACAGTCCCATTTTAATCCAGTCCTCGACATGAACACTAGACCCATCGCAGCCTGAAACGGGTCACTCGTTGCGAGGTTCTCGTCCAACAGTCGCTCGTACACTTCATCAACCGTGATGGCAGCCTTTACGTCTCCCTCTGGCTGAAGAACACTGAGGTGCTTGAGCGGCGTCTTAGACGTGTCCAACACGCTGGTATCGTGAAGAAAGGGTGAGAGGACCGGCACGGCGTCCCCACCTGTCGCGGGAGTGCGGGGAGTGAAATTGAGCATCTAAAATGGGGTCAATCAATGTAGCAGCTCAGGAGAGCACGCATTACGCTGCTGAATAGAAACTGGTCGTCGATGGGCGTGTTGAGAGAAGAGCCAGAGCTATTGGGAGATTTGGAGTAATCTTGTGTTATACCATGCTCAGGCATGTAGGACCGCAGGTGAGAAGGGGAAATCAGCGGATTCGCGTGTTTGATTGGTTCATAAAAGGGAGAATCGAAAGGGGACTGCAAGAGGTGGGTCGGTGTGTTCTTGTGCCACATTGGAGAGAATCCTTTAGGTGTAGATTGTAGAGGAGGGTGCTGATTTGCGGGAGAAAGCAAGCTGCGGAGTACTGAGGCAGGCGTGGGTGTCGAGTAGCTATTTGGTCTGGAAGTTGTGGCCAACGCATGTGATGCAAGCGTAGTTTGACCGTAGGGAGGAAGCAAAGCGCCGGGGGCGACCGGAGAATCATGAGGGACGGAGTTCGAAGAGGCAGGAGTTGTACCCCAAGTGTTCGTAGAGGATGCTTGTTCGGAAACGAGTCGAAGAGCGGGATCGATGTTCTCATTGGAATCATTGAGGGGTGCATCCTTCTTGTCTTCCTTCTCCTCCCCGACCAGCATTTGGGGGGGACGCGGGAGGAGCATCGGGCGACGGGAAACGGGATGTTGATAGGAAATTGGGTGGGGACGCGAACTAGAGTACTGTTGCTGCTGGGGAATACGGGTAGGCACGGGAGGAGGGAGATATCTAGTAGAATCCACGGAAAAAGGCTGAGAGTAATATACATACCCATATCCATGCGCTGGTGGCAGAGGTACGAGATGAGGGTGGTGGTCGGGCTTTTCGCGGACAAATGCGGAGCTGGAAGCAAACGACATGTCGGGAACTGTGATCTGAGTCTGAGTCTGAGTCTGGGGGCTGGGGAGTTTCCTGGGAGGTATGTACGAGTCATCTGGAGTAGGCAAGGCGGCGGGTTTGGCATCGGCTGGCGATTCGATTTGAGCAAGAGAAGACTGTTTGGAAAGGCGCCCCCTTTTCTTCGACGGCGGCTGCGTGTCGTCTTCTGAGCTCGCCGCTTCGCGCTTTTTCACCTGATCCTTCTTTCTCGTTCGCACGAACCACGCCTTGATCCACGTGGCAGTACTGTTGAATGAATTCAGATTGAAGAGTTTGGGGTTGACATGGCGCATACAGGCCAGTGTCAGAAACCAGTTTTGCGAGGTCTTCGGCACTGAGAGCGTCATCGACATTGTATACAGCCTCCAGGCCTCTCAGCTGCTCGGCAGTCGCGCGCACTGTTGAGGGAATGAGTCTACGATGCAGCAGGACACGCTCATGTCACCTTGCTTTCTCTTTGGCTTTCGGGAAACTTCTTCCTTCATCGTGGTCGACTTGCAATGTGTGACCACATTTGTCAGCGCGTACTCAACGCCCGGATCCAAAAAGGGTAAATTATTTGTGGATGAAACGATCATACTCTCGTCCATTCTTGTCCGTGTGCCTTGGAAATGGACACTCCGTCGCATATGTACAGAGTCAAAAATAGTGAGATACAAATATCGCTCTTAACAGCAAAAGAACATAGCCCACCGCGAGGGTCGAACTCGCAGCCTCAAGATTTACTTGAAGAAACCCGCCTTCTTAAAAGTCTTGCGCTCTATCCGATTGAGCTAGGCGGGCTTTTCACTCGCGGGTCTACGAGCTTCAAACGAGCTTTGTCTGGGTAGAAAGAGGGGCATTGATGTGATCTTTTGATTTGTGACCAACGTGACTTTCGAACGTTCGAGCTTGCCAACAACGCGAGCAACTCTTTTCTCCATCTCGTCTTCACCGGCTCGCAGAATCCACTCGCTCTTTTTCATCACTGTAGCTTATTTCTGATGAAATCCATCAACTTCAAGCTTACTGTGTGCCATATTCTCTTTCTGTTTTTTGTCCATCTGGATCTGCACCGAACCTTGGACCGTTTGTAAGTGGATTGTGTCCTCTCATCTCCCTCTTCTACCTGGTGCATACTGCAGAGATTTCATTTCTGTTCCGGGCTCACTGGTCTCTCCTACGTCAATTGCTTGTGGCTTTTTTGTTACTTTTTCTTTCTTTCTTCTTGGTCCTCTGGTTCGAGCTCAGGTTCTTATCCGTCAGCTGCTGGTGGGCCTTCGTCTTGTGGTTTTGTCTCAGTCTGGGGTTTCTCTACTATTTTTCTGCCCCGTAGTTTTCCTCAGATACCCACTTTTTCGCTTCGGGCCAATGGACCGCTGTCAGGCGGCAGAATTTCCTTGCGCCTTCTTACATATAGCTTATTTAGGAAGATGACGCACGCCGAGTGATGTTGTGACAGGGAGCCGACTTGCATTTGCGGTCACGCTTCTCCCAATGAATAATATTAAAAGAGTTTCCGTGCGATTGAAAAATTTGTGACTCTCGTCGCTCGATTCAGCCAAATCCATGGCGTGGTCCATACTCTCTATCCTCTTTTTCTCTAATTTCTTCCCTACATGCCTTCCCAGGCCAAAAGACAGGTAAGGAAAATATGGCTTGCACGTCTCTGACTCACAGATCCTCTTCCAGGCCATTTCACCTCATCCTGAAGAGCATGTACATGCTGTGCTTGCTACTCACGCGACAGAGTACTCAGGTTTCTTGCAGCATTGCGCACGTAAAGCTCGAATGATACGTCCTCTTGATTCATCTTCTTTTCAAGCTGATCTCTTCTAGATCCCGTTGTCGAGCACAAGTCTCGAGGTTGGCACATTTCCTTTCCCTGATGCTTCTTTCTTTCTGACTGCACACATCACACAGAATGGTAATTTCCTGGATGTAGACGAGGTTCGTATATCTTCTACATCCTATTCTCGATTTGCATACCGGTCGGCGCGCCCTGTCGCCCAATCCACATGATCTTTTCTTTTGTCATTGCTCCACCAGGTCAACTAATGTTTTCCTTTCCCCCAATAACCTCCAGGACGGCGAGGATTGCGGGGTTAGACAAAAAGGGAAGCGCAAGACACAGCAGCGTCCAGAGGTGCACATTTTTTCTTTTTCTTTTTTCTTCCTTTTTAAGAAGACGTACAGGATGAGGACGAGGATGAGGAGCCCTCCACGGTGAAGAAAGGGAAGGGCAAGAAGAAGGTATGCATATATTTATATATATATATTTGATTTCTTTTTAAAAATAAAACCTGTAGCGTAAAAAGGTCGAGGAGCGCAAGGTGGAAGCGAAAATGAGGAAAGGCCAGGAGGAAGTGCACTATACCCTTTTTTTTCTTCGTTTTGTTTACTGACAAAGATCAAGGATGCCGACTCAGAAGTGAAATACGGGTTCACAGGCACATCCCGAGACAAAAATGTGCTATGCCACGAAGCTTGTTGCCGGGCCGCCATAGAATTCCCTTAGCTAGCCGTTCTTCAGTGGCAGGCTAGCGGTCGTGCTTGGAGCGGAATGGTGGCAGGTGTCTGGGCAGACAGCTTTACAGCGATCACGTGATGGGAGCAAGCTACGCAGAGCACCATTGCAGGACATTTGTCCTCCCTTGCAATTGTCCAGAGCATGGTAGATGCCACTTGACCTTAACATTAGTATGGTAACAGAGGGGCGACTTGGTCGCGTTTCCGAGTGATCCGCTGAGCGGTGACGGAAGAGTACTAGTTAGTACTACCCAAATGCCATCTTGTTCCACATAGATGCCACTTGACTCCCATCCCTGCCACGGTAGCTGTCTGGGGTACCATCCCATCACACACCCTAGACCTAGTATGGTTTAGAGGAGGCCGTGGACAGCTTCTTCGACGACATAACAGTGAAAGAGATCACGTGCGTCCTGGCCTGCATGCCGCGCCCGAGCGCACATGCCACGTGTTTCTTGTATAACGGGATCACACACACGACGGCGTGCACCAACTGGGGCTGGGACGATGTTGAGAGAGAGAGCGATGTGTGGGTGGTCAACCTGCTGGATGCAAACCCCGAGGTGAAATGGGAGACCTACCATTTCCGAGACCTTGACACCCCCATCAGTGGTCCGCTCGATGTGAGGACCTCCGAGACGATTAGCCTGTTGGAGCAAATCGTCCAGGCTACCTGCGGTGCTGCATCCCTCAACTCAGACCACGGCAGGGTCTTAGCCGTCCATCTTCCTTTCCCAGAGCACCACTCTGTTCTCGACCTTGCACGTGCCTTCCTCCCTGACATCGACCCTACACTGCTCGGTCAAGACCGGGACCTCATCCTCGAGACAACGATCTGCAGCCGCATAGACAATGAAGTCCGTTTCTTGGCTCCTTTTACAGACTCCCCCATTGACCCTGCTATATTGGAAATATACAAGCAATATGCGGCAGACATCATTTGATCTAATAACGACAAAATTGTCAAAATGGAGATCGCAAAAGACGTGCCGGTGGAGGTGTACCATGGATGGTGTGGAACATATTGGCAAGCCACTGTTGGCCGGGGTCCTCACGAGCATCGACACATCCTGCGACTCCTGCAGCCTGATATTCCCACCACCGGTGATTGCCTTACTGTGTATGTCAGTGCAACCCTAGATTTCTGGCAACTGCTCCTCTGCCACATCCTATACCTGCTCCACGTACTCTTCCTGAGCAGGTTGCTAGGGGTCTACCAGCCACTCATTATTGTCACACAGTCGAACCCCGTCGCGGCCATGATGTGCTCGGACGACCTGGTAACTGCATGGTATTTGCTTGAACCAAAGCAGCATGAGCAGTTTGAGGCTGGCATCACCCCGGTCAGCATGTAACACCCCTTCCCTGACACAAAGTATTGCACATTCAGGAGGGGCGACTTTACTGCCGAGATAGGAACAATCAAACTCATCCAAACCGGCCGCAATCCCGCTCAAATGGCACTCCACATCCCACACCCCCCACTATGGTCACATTAAATACGACTCCAGTCTCGCACGTCCTCAGTGGGACGTTGACCTTCTCATTGAGGGTGTCGTCTATGTCGTCACCTAGATAACTGCAGCACGTCTCTGGGACGTCACCGTTGCTGTAGACTGGACCGATCCGGTACAGATGCGCGCTTGGTTGGAGGTCGTAAAAGGCAAGGCAGAGGAGGTGTTGCGAGAGGCAGGAGTGTCTCAGATGTTGGAGCAGGCCAAGAACAAGGCTTGATGCGTGGAACTCGTGCTGAACTTCTTGCATGCACTGAAGGTGTCGAAGGAGCAGCATGATAAATGAATTGCTTCTGATGGTCAGGGTCAAACGAGGCGAGAGGGTATCCTAGCCGCACTGCGGGGCTGCCAGCGACAAGAGCAGCTCGACGCCATCCTTGAGAGAGCTCGTGAGCTCGAGTCCTTTGACATACCCCCAGATCCCGATCACCTTGGTTCCTTCCTTCATCCTATCTTCAGTGACTCATTCCAGGAGTGGTTCCTGTCCTTGAAGGATGGCACAGATGTTGTGTATGCATCTAACACACTCGGACGGACGGAAGAGTCCCACCTCGCGGCTCAAGAAAACCAACAGGTGATTGGGAAGTGGCATCGTGCCCATCACATTGATGTTTACGTGGACCAAGTGGTAGTGCTGTGCAAGAGGCTGGTGAAGGCGGTGAGGGAGACAACAGGAGCGGGAAAAGTACTCATCAAGGACATCTTGTCAGCCCTGCGGTGGGGCAACTGCAGCATCTGCGGAATCTCCGTTATTGGCAGCCACAATGTGGTCGCTCACAAATACCCTGTTGATCGCATGGTGCGTCACTTGACCGGAAAAAATTTCCGCAACATGGAGTGCATCCAATATGTACATGAGATTCTCAATAACGACAAGATGCTAGCTGGTCTAGGACCCAAACCAGATATCTTATCAGAGATGGCCCTCGTCAAAATCTCAGTTCAGACGATCCTTGACTCCCAGCACGATGCGCTGCAGAGCACCATGCCCCATGACTACCTCTCGCTCCTCCCTTTTCTAACCTCGGACGCTGACATCTATGTCAAAGAGGACACACAAAATGATGTATACGACCTACTCACCCTGGCGGTAGACACTGTCCTGGCCACCAAATCCCAGTGTCCACCAGAGTTTCTCCCCCTAGAGTTTGACTCCCACGATGCGTGGTCAATGAGTCAGTCAGAGATGCTATTGCAGTGGTTTAAATCGCGTACGTGCTCTTGAATTGTTGCCCGTCTTTCATAGCTAATGTCACTGCATTACTCAATGGGACATTACATGTGCAGGGATACAACTGCAAACTCTGCTCTTCGAAGACTTGCGGAGATCGCAGATTCTTGAAAGTCAACACGCTCCTCGACCTCCCGCCGCACCATGCACGTCACATCTGGATGGTGCATTGTCGGGGCAGCAAGCGAGTCAAGGCTTTGTTGAGCCGGAAACTGGTCTCCCGTCGTTGAAGCTGCTCGCTGGGATTTGTGTCTTGTACTGTTTAGATTCTTCTTTTTCATTGTCTTTTGTTGCCTTTTACTTTGTTGTACAACTTCTATTTGCTATTTCAGATTATTCTTTTTTCGTTGTTGTATCACTTCTCTTTGCTGTATTTTCCGATGTGCTCCTTGATCAACTCCATGACCTTCTTACGATTCTGATTTACAATGAACAATACAGCAAAAAAGAAAAGTCATACAACTTGTGATTCAACTCATTTAACTTAGAAATCTACGAGTTTCAAACGAGCTTTATCTGGGTGAAAAGGG